GAAAAATTCACAAAACAAATTAATTCCCTCACAGAAGGCAGAAAAGAAGACTGCAGAGAAAGCTGTCCCTACCTATTTGATCTCAGAAGTTATTGAAGAATCTAGAGCTTTTGTTTATGTCAGTTATATCTATCACTATTACAGGAATAGAAATTAAAACCAAGAACTTTTAAAAACATTAATTTTAAAATAAACTAATTATATGTAGCCTAGACAGTATTTTTAAAGATGTAAAATAATTTTTCCAGTTAAAGAAACAGAAGTGACATTGTTTTATATTTAATGTCTTTAATGTCTGGCTTAGCAGCTAGTTTCTCATACGTGCTTCTGCACTCAGTCTTTTGCAATGAATTAGTTTGGTTTAACTATATGAAGAAAATCTGGCCTCATACAGATATTTAGTGGGAAAGGAAGTAGTATTTTAATAGTTTAGATAATTTTGTGGCTATCTGATGATATGCCAAAACTTGACAAGTGCTCTTTTGACAAGATTATTTGCAATGTGGAATCTGAAACTATATCAGTGAACTTTTTTCAAATCCGTCTCTATACCATTTAAAAAATTAATTTGAGAGAGAGAAGAATGGGGTTGGAGAGAAAGACATACATCATACTTACATACATAGATCGGTTGCCTCTTGTCCACACCCTAGTTGGGGATCAAACCCGCAACCTTCTGGTGCTCAACCACTGAGCCACAGGGGCCAGGGTATCAGTGAAATTCTTACACTGTTGTACTGAGGCCGTGGTCTTGTCCTTCTCCATCATGATAACATAACATCCATGTATTTGCTCCTGTGTCTTGTCATTTAGCAAGTGGATCTTCTCAGTGTTGGCATTCCTGTTGGCTGTGGTCAAGTCCACCAAGCAGATGTTTGCAGATGTTTTGCTTGGAAGTAATTTAATAAGGGGCTGTTCTTGTATGTATGAGTGAGTTGGCCTTCAATTGGTTTCCCAAAAGAAACTATTTTGGTAAAAATTCTTGTAGTTACTCTAGTTATTGGGGTAGGAAACTCTGGTCCGCCAGATAGTTTCTTAACAAGATCCATGGAAAAGAGAAAAAGGGGAATGCTGTTACATTAAAAATATCTTATGTCCTTTCCTAAATATTTCACTGGATTTTATAACTGTATGTGTGTGTGTTTAAATCCTCACCCGAGGACATTTTTCCATTTTTGTTCAGATAGAGTGGGAGGGAGAGAGGGAGGGAGGGAGGGAGAGAGAGAGAGAGAGAGAGAGAGAGAAACATCAATGTGAAAGGGACACATCGAGTGGTTGCCACCCACACGACCCAACCAGGGCCGGGGACAAACTGCAACCGAGGTACGTGCCCTTAGCGGGAACCGAACCTGGGTCTCTCAGGACCATAGTCCGACGCTCTAACCGCTGAGCCAAACCGGCCAGGGCGTGTGTATATTTTAAAATTATGTATTTTTGCCCTGGCCGGTTTGGCTTAGTGGTTAGAATCGGCCTGTGGACCAATGAATCGCGGGTTTGATTCCGGTTAAGGGCACGTACCTTAGTTGCAGTTCGACCCGGCCCTGGTCAGGGTCATGTGGGAGGCATCCGGTGGATGTGCCCTTCTCACTTCAATGTTTCTCTCTCCATCCCTCACACTTTATCTGAAGGTAAATAGAAAAATGTCCTTGGGCGAGGATTGAAAAAAAAATACTATTATGGATCTTCTGTTGTCATGGTGTTTTTGCGAGTGCTTTAGTTTGTTGTTCTATAATGAAACACTTTGTTAGTTTGATTAGTCTCACACTTTCTTAGTTTGGTTTGTCTCAGTTGGATAATAATACTCCTTTAGAATTTGCTACTTAAAATGTAGCAGCACCCTGGCTGGTTTGGCTCAGCGGGTAGAGCGTCGGCCTGCAGTCCAGAGAGACCCAGGTTCGGTTCGCGCTAAGGGCGCGTATTGTCCCCGGCCCTGGTTGGGTCGTGTGGGTGGCAACCACTCAATGTGTCCCTTTCACGTCGATGTTTCTCTCTTTCTCTCTCTCCCTCCCACTCCGTCTGAACAAAATATGGAAAAATATTCTCGGGTGAGGATTAAAAAAAAAAAATGTAGCAGCAACGTCAAGCATCTGCTTGTTAAAAATAGAGTATCTCAGCTCTGACCGGTGTGGCTCGGTTGGTTGTTGTTCCGCACACCAAAAGGTCACCCATTTGATCCCTTGTTAGGGCACATGTCCAGATTTTGGGTTCAATTCCTGGTCTGGGCTTTGTGTGGGAGACAGCTAATCAATCTTTCTCTCTCATATTGGTTTCTTTCTCTCTCATTAAATCAATAAAAACATATTAAAAAATTAATATCTAAGGTTCTGCCCCAAACTCACTGAATAAATCTGCAATAATAAGATCCCAGGTGATTCATATATGTGTTAGTTTGAGAAGCGCTGCTTTCGATTATTGAAACTATCTGAATAGTGTGAGTGCGTTTTCTGGCTTAGGTTTCCTTCCATTCCACATACCAGGCTGCTTTTGTTCACCTTTTACAGAATCAGTAAGTGTTCACTGGAAAGGGGAACTGAGTGAAAATGTTTAATATTTGTAAGATCCTAGAAATATTGTTAAGATCAGGTGGAATGTAACCTTCTAGTTGTGATCATCATATTATCTTATTATAGGAAGAAGGACACTCCTTTCTATGGATTCTCTATCTAGCTCAGGATCCTGTCAAAATTAGAAATGACCTTTTACTTGCCTCCTATATACTCCCTTGTATCAGGACTGTTGCCTTCCTTAGTCTTCAGAATGGAGGGAATGACTGATTCCAGCATGGATCTGGGGCTAAGAGGGGGCCTTCAGACTTAGGATTGGATACTTGCTAGAAGTTGGGGAGCCTAAGAGGGTCTGTGAAACAGTATTCCAGTTGAAGGTTGCAGGTTCAGTTCCCAGTCAGTGCACACACTAAGAGAGATTTTTACCTTTAGAGAATAGTTGTATCTAAATCTATCTTCTCTTTCACTTAGGTATGCAAATTGGAACCATACTAGACTGCACTTCTTTGTGGGTGTGGTTTTTTTTTTTTTTTTTTAAGCTACCTTTGATAGTATGGCTTATAAAAGTATGAGGTTAACAGTTAAAATGTTTTAAAATACATGAAGCAGCCCTGGCCAGTTTGGCTCAGCGTTTAGAGCATCGGCCTGCAGTTCAGAGAGACCTGGGTTTGGTTCCTGTTAAGGGCATGTGCTTCCGTTGCAGTTTGTCTCTGGCTCTGGTTGGGTCATGCGGGTGGCAGCCACTTGATATGTCCCTTTCATGTCGATGTTTCTCTCTCTCCCCTCCCGCTCTAACTGAATAAAAAATGGAAAAATGTCCTCTGGTGAGGCTAAAAAAAATAACACGTGAAGCAAGTGATAAGGAAAATGGGTAACCATATTACGGTTAAGGGCCTCATGAAACTTGAAATTTTTAGGGCTAAATAAAAATTTTGTGTTTTAGTTTAGGAAAACTACCATACTCACAGTTTATTTGTGCAGAAACAGTTTATAAGTAAATATTTAGATATTCAAGAACTGATTTATATTTGAGAGTTTTATAGAGATCAAAAAGTTTTAGAATGAAGTTTAGGGTAGAAATTTAGAATCTATACATGTATTGACTGGTAGATAGATATCTAAATGAACTTACATATGTGAATATCCTTGAAAGGAAAATCTGAGACTTTTTTTTGTATCTGAAGCATCCTGCCAGAACATTTTGCTAGCTGTTGGGGTGCATTTGATGTTAGACAAATTATTAAACTTACTAAATAGGTTCAAATTCAGTTTAATTCTTAGATGTGAGCAAATAAGGTTGAAATAGTATAAGTGAATGTTTTTATTTTTAGAAAGCATGTGCTGGAATGATTGTGGTGAAGTATGTTTGCAACTGGCGGATGATTGAGAAAAACAAATTGCATATAGCCAATAGGACAAAATGTTCATTGTTGAGTTCAGATTTAGGTACACTTTCCTGTGTCTTTGAAATTTTCTGTAATACAAACTTGGGGTAGGAAAGTGTACCCTTTAATATAATTTTTATAATTTAATGGTACTTACATTCCAAGCTGCTATAGATAGCTTTTGATGGATTTAGTCTGAAAACATTCTTTCTGGTGACCATTCTGTAATTGAAACTACTTCTGTGTAGTTTCTCTGTTAGGAAGATATTTTTTAAAAACAGTAAATGGCTTTTAAAATGAAGGCAAAACTGTATTACGTTTTCTTAAGATGTGAAGTTTGGAGCATTTAAAACTATTGAATAACTTTTTTAAATGCAGTTTTTGGTACATAAAAGGGTTAATAATATGTAATACTTTGTTTAGTAAATAAACTGAAAAGGATTGATTGCATTTTCAATCTTTTGGTGGCTAGAGATTAGTTTAAAAAAAAAAGGACATTTCAATTTGGACTTTGGTAAAACCAGAGAAACTTTCATTGCACCCAGTTTTCTCTCTTCTGCTTTTTTATTTAGAAGGGAAAATACAGCAAAATTTCCCAACTTACTTGAGATGGAAAAATGTAGAATGTGATGGCAGTTGTATTCTCAGATTAGTGAGTAGACAAAGGATATTGGATCAACAAGTAATCTGGGAAACTGTAAAGATAATCTTTAGATTCTGAATTACTTATAGCTGAAACTATTTATTACATTATTGTGTGTTGAACTATGGAAAGGATGAAATGTGATGACTTGTATGTATAAGTATGTGTGTGTGTGTGTTTGGTTTGTTTTCTGTAGGGTATAATATGGGGGAGTTCGTGACTGCAAAAGTTGCTTAAATTATCCCATACATGTCTGGTTTTGAGGTACTAGCATTTTTTTTGGCCTTGATTTGCACTTTATTACCAACTATATAATTTCAAAGCAGTGTTTCTTTATAATGGAAAATATGGGTAGTATGCTTTGTATGAAGCAGAATATCAAGTAGTAATCTTAATTAAATATTTATAAGATCATATTCATGTTAGTGAATTTCTAGGAATAACGCAGCCTTTTTTCTTCTTTTGTAGCATAAGCAGTACTATAATGGATGTAGACAGCACAATTTCCAGTGGGCGTTCAACTCCAGCAATGATGAATGGACAAGGAAGCACTACTTCTTCAAGCAAAAATATTGCCTATAATTGTTGTTGGGACCAGTGCCAGGCTTGCTTCAACTCTAGTCCAGATCTGGCAGATCACATCCGTTCCATACATGTAGATGGTCAGCGAGGAGGGGTTTGTTTTGTCATTTCTTTTTTTTATTCCCTGTTTTCATTAGTTTTATTAATTTATAATGACTAGTTAGGCATTTTTTTCACCCTTAAAGTAATTTGGGATTGTTTTTTATAGGCTTTATTTTTTTCAAATGTTTTTTACTTTTATTTACAAAGTTTCACTTACTTGATGGAATCATATTAAATAGAACATATGATGTGTTGCACTTTAATTTGCTCTTAGATGTATTACTTTGAGGAAATTAGACTCTGAAATATAGTGGGGTATTATAAATGAATACAGTGTACTCCAAGGTTCTGATGTTTTGAGTTGAGGACATTTGGGGAATTGGTACTGTTTAGGATTTCTGTTAGAGTGGTCCTAAATTATCTCTGATGCTGAAATTAACTAGACAGACTATTGGTACCAGGATTCATGTATACATTCCTATTAAATGACAGTCTGCACTCATTATTTGTGATAGAAAATTGATCATCTTTCCCAAGTCTTGTCAGAGCTGGCTTAGATAAAAAGTTCTGATTAGTCAATGTTGACCTATATCCTTTCAGGAATAGCTTTAATTGTGTCAGTTTATATCATTATTATTGGATAGTCAGTAAAGTGCTGAGTAAATTAGGTGAGCCAAAGTGTAGTGGACCAAGATATTTATAATATTTCTACTATTTGTAATTTTTTCCAGCTTTATCTAGGTTTGTCTTGAATACTTAACCACATTTAACACATTTTCCAGGAATTAATGCTACATGGTGTACACAGGTAATGTATTAGGCCACATATTTCCCCTCACCCTGCCTTCACTGTGGAGATACACGGGTATTAAAAAGGCTAAAATCACCAGGGTTTACATGAGTAGGCAACTGTTTCCAAGGTTGTATTGATAATTAATTTATGTTATTGATCTTAAAAAAAAAACAAAAACCCAAGAAACAATTATATAAGCTCTCCTAATATATTTACCTCTGTGGTATTGCATCTAAATTTTCTTTGTAGAAATATTTGCTGTTGTCACAATATGTTGTAATGTATCAGCAGTCTTTTGATTAATCAAGCTTGATAAGTAAACATTTGTCTTATTATTAGATTTAATATATATGGTGTCTGGGTAGATACCAGATGGTGTATTAATGAAGTGTGTCCATCATATGGTTTTTCACTGTTGAACCATCTCAGCAGTTAGGCAATTTAAATTGACTATTTTAGATACCTCATATAAGTGGAAGACAACAGAATTAGATGACATAATTATTTTAGATTTTTTTTTCTTTTTTTTTTTACTCTTAAGTGTTAAACTATCATAGTGGAATAGAAACAAATAAGGAAAAAATTGTTAACGCCAGAGGACTTTGTGGTTCTAAATACTGAGAAAGAACAATTTTACTGGAGCAGTAAGTTAGTAAGATTTAAATACTGTATTAATTCCTATTTCTTTCTCATCAAACTTTGCATTCACCTTGGGAAAAAACAAAACCGCCCTGGCCAGTTTGGCTCAGCAGTTAAGAAGAGCATAGGCCCGCAAACCAGAGAGTCCCGGGTTCGATTCCCCCTAAGGGCACGTACCTCGGTTGCAGTTTGTCCCCAGCCACGGTTGGGGTGTATGGGTGGCAACCACTCGATGTGTCACTCATATGTTGATGATGTTTCTCTCTCTCTTCCCCCCTTCTCCCTCCCGCTCTATCTGAAGATAAATGCAAAAATGAGTGAGGATAAAAAACACAACAACAAAAAAACAAAACCATGATGTAACAGCTTAAAAACTTCTTTTCCCCCTCTAAACTATTTATGTTGCTATGTCTCCTGGACTTTATCTGTATAAGCTGAAGCCAGGTAGAGTTAGGTTTTCCTGACCTTTTCATGTATCAGACTGGTTAGATATTCAACTCTACATTAAAAGTTGTACTAACCATTTAAATACTAAATTATAAATGTACCTTTTTTAAAAAGAATTGAGATGGTTTTCTATTTAAAATATAAAAACAGGCAAAACATTTATTATTATTTTGTTAAGTGTAATAGAATTGTGTCCTTGTGTTCATACATTCACGTATGACTGGGTTTCCAAAACTAGACTGAGCTGTTTCACTAATCAAATTTCAAACCCCAGTGTCCTCTTAGTATACACCTATGTTTTGGTAGGTAGGGAACGTCATCTTGTGGAATTTCAGTGGTTCAATAAGATCCATTAGTCTTCTGTTCTTTCTGTTTTGTTTCTTACTTTAAAAACATTTGCCAGAAAGATATATGTTCATGTTTCTTGATGCAGGAGTTACTTTACGTTTGCTATGTTAAATGTACTTAAGTATATGTTCTTTGGTGTGTTTGAGGGGAGAGGGCTAGAGGGAGATTGGGGGTGGGGATGAGGTGATAAGATACTGTTCAAAGACTTGAATGAGGCCAGTTACCTTTATGTTATATAAAGTGACATTTGTAGACTCTCGGGGTTAAATCAGATTGCTGCTAGGAAGTGAAATCAGTCTTAGGTCACTTTGCTTGGCCTTTTTAAAAAAAATTCTCACCTGAGGATATGTTTTTACTGATTTTTAGAGAGAGGGGAAAGAGAGAGAGAAACATTGATCAGCTGTACCTTGACCGGGGATTGAATGCACAACCCATAATCGAACCTGCAACCTTTTGGTGTATGGGACGGTGCTCCAACCAACTGAGCCACATGGGCCTGGGCTCGCTTTTTTTTTTTTTTCTATCCTCACCAAGGACATTTTTCCATTTTTTGTTCAGATAGAATGGGAGGGAGGGAGGGAGAGAAATGAGAGAAAGAGAGAGAGAAACATCGACGTGAAAGGGACACATCACACATCGAGTGGCTGCCTCCTGCACGACCCAACCAGGACCGGGGCCAAACTGCAACCGAGGTACTTGCCCTTCACCGGAATCGAACCCACAACTCCTTGGTCCGCAGGCCAGGCTCTAGCCGCTGAGCCAAATCGGCCAGGGCTATAGCTATCATTTTATACAGATGTTGAAAGAGTAAACTGATTTGAGACAAAATAATTACATATGAAAAATATGCTTCTCTTTTGTATATACACATTTTGTAAAATAATGATTTTTTTTGGAGACATATTAGAACTTAAAAGAATCATAAAATCATCTGTCCAATTCCTTCCTGATTTTATATGGTATGTCCCTTGGTATATATGAAATCTTTTGATTCATATTTTACTGCCAAAGGAATCTAAATCCTTAGTAAAAACTAGCACCCCTGCTCCTTTGGGCTTGTAAATTATGCTTCTTACTGGCTCTCTATTTAGAATATATTTGACTGATTTTAATTTACTAATAATCACTGACTTCTCCTTATGTATAGTGAGACGCTGTCAAGTTGCATTGTACTCTTTTAAGAAAGGTAGTAAAGCTGACCTATTCTGACAGTAATGTGTCAGTCTTTCTAGAGGAGTTCTCAACAGAAAATCTCCCTGTAACTTGGATATTGTTGACCTGTACTTTTTACAATTTAGGTCATTGTAAATTTTAAAATACTTTGGGAGTCCGAAAATATTATTTTAATGGCTCTGTTGTTGTTTTTTTCTTGGACAGTGGCGGGAAAATCTGGTGGCAGTTATTTTGAGAAGGGACCCTCTCAGTGTCTAATATAAACAGTTTTTCTGTTAATCAGTCTTTCTTAGAGAATATATATCATATTTTTACTGTGCTTTGGAATTATCAAATGTGTGCTCATAGTATCTGATAAAAAAGGAAATAAGAGATACGTTATTTTCCCCAAGATTACACAGCTGTGAAGTGTGAAAGCGTCATAGAATTTAGTCATTTGCTTTTATTCTATTTCTGTTCCATCTAATACAACCGAATATAACATAAATCTGTTTGGCTATTGTGAGAGCCTGGCCTATAAACCTCTGTCCCTTAATCTAATTAATGTAGCTACATCTTTTTAAAAAAATATATTTGTATTGATTTTTTTTTTTTAGAGAGAGAAACATTGATGTGAGAGAGAAACACCAATTGGCTGCCTCATGCATATCCCTCACCAGGGATTGAGCCCACAAATCGGGCATGTGCCCTGACCGGGAATTGAACTGGGACCTCTCAGTCCATGGGACAACGCTCAATCCACTGAGCCACATTGGCTGGGCAATATAGCTAAATCTTAATTCATTTTAAGGTAGTGTAGAGGAACCATGAGATATTTTATTTTTGAATAATTTCTTTCATATTTGGGTTTAATTCCTATGGTGTTTGGTTTTCAGGGTTAATTTTTACAACAAGAAAGTTTCTTAAAAGTATAGTATAAAAATGGTTTTTGAAACTGGCATCAAAAAAGGACTGAGGTTTGAATAAAGATCCTTTTATCAAGATTTTGGATTACCTATTTTATCAAAGGGGTTTTTCTTATTTAAATTAGGAAAGGAAATTTAGCTTTTAAAATTTTCGTGGTTTTTGTGGATCCTTGATGTGGATTTTTACTGCCATTTTGTGTATCAAGACTATCCTTGTGCAAGTTTATTGCTGCCTCCTCCCGACCCCCTAATTATTTTTCAAATATTTCACAAGTATTTCTCCCAAATATGGCTAAACATAGTTAGCTTTGGTCTCTTAACACTTATTTCATTTCCTAAACTATTCACTAGGTTGAAGGTTATGGTTTTTCTTTGAACCTGAAGGTGTTGCCCTAATAGTGTTACTAGACATTATTCCACCTAGAGTCTAGACCATGCCTCTTCACAATTAAGGCTATTATCTGATGGAATTATAGGATCTGCCATTGCCTCCATACTTATATTTATTCATAGGAAAAAATTAGAAGTTAGAGATTTGTGGTTTCTCTCAAATGTAGTGGTTGAGTAATATTAGGTTAGAGCAGTGTTGGAGTATTTTTCTGTTTTTTTTTGAGTAATTCAACACAGGGGTCACTTGAGTTACACCAACAGAATTCTTCACTGTTATAAAAGTTGTTACATAAATTATGTTAATTTTTTGCCCAAATACTTTGTTTCTTTAAAAGATTTTTTTATTAATTTTATTTTTTTAGTGAAAGAGGAAGAGAAAGGAGGGAAGGAGAGAGAAACATCAGTATGACAGTGAAACATCTATAGGCTGCCTCTTGTACACCCCCCTCCATGGATTGATCCCGAAACCTGCCACACCAGCCACCTTATGGTGCATGGTATCATGTCCAATCCACTGAGCCACATCAGCCAGGGTGATCTCAGTTATTTTAGATTGTTGATTTTTCTAGACTTTAAAACAATTTATTTTAAACTGAGTTTAATGATTGTTTTTCTCAGTTCTGTGGGTCTCTTCTTTCTGTTCTATATGTAGTACATTACAGTTTTCAGAGTGTGGGTCGATTTATAATTGTTCTTACCTCGGAAAAGAACAGAGCCACGCCCAGCTGGTGTGGCTCAGTGGTTGAGTGTCAACCCATGCACCAAGAGGTGGCTGGTTTGATTCCCAGTCAGGGCACATGCCCAGGTTGTGGGCCAAATCCCTAGTGGGGGCATGCTGGAGGCAGCCAGTTGATCAGTTCTTTCTCATCGATGTTTCTATCTATCTCCCTCTGCCTTCCTCTCTCTCTAAAATCAATAAAGAAAAAATAAAAAAAGAACAGGGTCTAGAAATAGTACTCTGAAGGTGATGATCACAGTAGATTCATATCTCTTGATGATTTTAGGGATTCGTTTTAATGTCTACTTTGATGGAAATATGATCAATTAGAAAATTGACATCTCACAAGTAGGAAAATGATAAAGATTAGATGATTAGTTGACAGATTTGTGCTTTTCCAAACCCAGGCAAGAATGTAGTATGTTTTTATGATGTTAGAGTAGTTCATGCCCATTGCTTTTGCAATTACATTAATTTGACATTTTGCATTAGATTTTGTTTCCTATTCAAGATAATTGAAAATAATTTTTAATGAATAGAACAATGTAAGAATAAATAGTGTGCATGTGAAAATTGGAATTCAGGAGCAGGGAAAGTATGATTTTATAGTTGAATTGTATTACTCATTCTTTGAAGATGAAACTATCAATATCTACTAATTAACCTTTGACTATTTTGATTGTGGATTCCTTTATGTTTTTTTTTTTTCCCTTCTCTTTATTTCTTTTAGAGAGGGAGAGAAAAACATCGATTGGCTGCCTCCTGCATACCCCTCACAGGGAATCTGGTCCGCAACTTGGACATGTGCCCTGACTGGGAATTGAACTGGTGACCTCTTGGTGCCTGGGTCGATGCTCAGCCACTGAGCCACATCATCGGGCATGTTTTCTTGATAATTGCAACTAATACATGCTTGTTTCCTCATACAATAACTACAAAATGGTCATAGTGCTAGTTCCTAGGGATGTTTTGTTAATATTTTGTATATTTCCTTCTGAATGGTACTTTGGCTTTGGTGTATTAGTTCCTTTTTGAGGGACTGGACAGCAGCCTGAAGGGGGAAGGAAGGGTTAAAACTGTGCGTCTCATGCTGGAAGTTCAGAAAGTTTAATGTTAAGCATTTGATTGGCTCTTTTTGTCAATTGAAGACTTGCAGTGTGCTCATTTGAGCTTAGAAGGAATAAAGCTGTTGAAATAAGTTCTGAAGATTTTTATGGCTCTTCTCTTAACAGGTATTTGTTTGCTTATGGAAAGGTTGTAAAGTATATAACACTCCGTCAACCAGTCAGAGTTGGTTACAAAGGCATATGCTGACACACAGTGGAGACAAACCTTTCAAGGTAAGTAAATGTATGTGAGTTTTATTTTATAAATTTCAACCTAAATTGACAAGATGATGATTATTTTTTTAAATCCTCACCTGAGGATATTTTTTGAGAGTGGATGAGCAGGTGGGGAGACATAGATTGGTTGTTCCTGACAAGGGTTGAGGATCAAACCCACAACTCAGGTATGTGCCCTTGACTGGGAATCAAACCCAACACCCTTTAGTCCTTCAGCTGACGCTCTAACCATTGACCCACACTGGCCAGGGCAATAAGATTCTAAATGGGCATGCTTTTGCCCTGATAAAAAATTTTAAAAGAACCATTTGTTTTAGCATGCAAGTAGATGCGTGGAATTTAAAAAAATAGATGAAGGGTGAGTTAATCCAATTCTTAAAATTTGAAGAACAGGAAAAAAGTCTCTTATGGTAGGGTCTTGAAAATAGTGGACAGCTCAGTGACTTGAATGCATGTCTTTAAAGTTGATGGGTTGTTAATATCTTGTGCTCTGTTTTGTCACTGCGATAGATTTCATACTTTTTATTAGTGAACAATGACTATTATGTGAAAATTGTAATTGTAGAACGTTACTGTACTTGATTCCTTTCAATTTTGAGGTCATACTGAGCTTAGTTGTAATTACTGTGTCCAATAGAGGTATTCAGGGAAATGTGTATAAAGAACAAGTTTTTATAAAAGCCATTTTTCTATTTATCTTCGTTAAAAATTAAACAAAATATTTTGGTTTGTAATTATGGAAAGCATATACCATAGAGAATAAGTTTGTATTTAAAGAAGTTTAATAGTTATTAAACCAATATTTACTGGTAGGTAAATACTGTGCCAGAAACTTCCTTTGAGTTTCATTAGAAAGGAGATAATTCCTGTGGAGTTGCTTTTTAAAAACAATCACTTAACTCTTTTTGGAAAGACAATCTTTAAGAAGTTTTAAAAATGTGTAAAGAAATAATTTACATAAAAATCTTACTCCCTGCCTGGCCAGTGTGGCTCAGTGGATTGAGTGTCCTTCCATGGACTGAGAGCTGAGAGGTTCAGATTTGATTCCCATCAGGGCACATGCCCCGATTGCAGGCTTGATCCTCAGTATGGGGTGTGCGGGAGGTAGCCAATGGCTTTTTCTCTCTCACATTGATGTTTCTCTCTCTCCTTTCCTCTCTCTCTAAAAAAATCAATAAAAATATATTTTAAAAAATCTTGCTCCCTTTTTTATTCCCTGATTTCCTGTCCCCCAAATAGCTGCTATTCATTTCTAGTGAGTTATTTTAGTATTTCTTAGGAAACTGTAAGCAGATACGTATCTAATCTCGTTCTTCTTCCTTTCTTAACACAGAATCTAGAAAACTATACACTTTCTACTTTACTTTTTTAAATAAGCTTTTTATTTTAAAGCAGGTTTTAAATTTACAGACATACTACAAAGATTATAGTCTCTATATATTCTACGTCAAGTTTATCCCATTATTAACATCTATTGTGTGTATTGCTTTTAGCATCCTTTATACTAGAAATCTTTCTATATTCGTTCATAGAGAATATTCTCTTTTTCTGAACAGCTTTGTAGTATTTCATTGTGTGACTATAGCAACTTATTTAACCAAACTTGTATAGACATTTGGGTTGTTTCTAGTCTTTGCTATTACAAATAGTTCTGTAGCAGCAGTTCTCAACCTGTGGGTTGCAACCCCTTTGGGGGTCAAACGACCCTTTCACAGGGGTCGCCTAAGACAGAACAGTAGCAAAATTACAGTTATGAAGTAGTAATGAAAATAATTTTATGGTGGGGGTCACCACAACATGAGGAACTGTATTCAAGTGTCGCGGCATTAGGAAGATTTAGAACCACCACTGTTCTACAGTGATGACTCTTTTTTGAACATACATAATTTTGTACATGTATGTTTATATATATAGGAAAAATTTCCCAAAATGATGTGAGTAGGTGGATCAGAGGCTACATAAACATTGGTAATTTTGTTAAATACTGCAAATTGTCCTCCCTGTGGGTTGTGCCCTTAACAGCAGTGTTTGGGCATCTGCCTTCTCCGTAGCCTTCATAACAAGGTGCTGTCAGACTTTTGGATTTTTACTCATATAATAGATGAGAAATTGCGTTAGTTTTTTTTTTTTAATTAGGATTTAAAAATTTTTTTTATTTATTTTTTTTAATTTTTGTTTTTAGAGAGAGTAGAAGGGAGGAGTAAGTGGGGAGAGAGAGAAGTGTAGTTTTAATTTGCTTTTCATTGATTGTGTGTGATATTGGGCATCTTTTCATCTGTTTAACCATTTGGATTTCTTTTTCTTTATGTTTTTAAAAAAATAAACGGTCTCATTGAGCTTTCTGTTGGCATGTGGGTCCTATAACTTTAATATCCTAGTCTTTCCTATAGTCATATTACAGATCCTGGCCCTGACATTTACTAGAAGTGTGTGACCTGGGTGGGACAGGTTTTTTAACTTTCTGTCTAATGTGTAGCTGGTGTCCTGGCCAGTTTGGCTTAGCGGTTAGAGTGTTGGCCTGCAGTCCAGAGAGACCTGGGTTCGGTTCCCGCTAAGGGCACGTACCTTGGTTGCAGTTTGTCCCCAACCCTGGTTGGGTCATGCAGGGGGCAGCCCATTGTGTCCCTTTCACATCGATGTTTCTTTCTCTCTCTCCCCCTTTCTCTCCCTCCCACTCTATCTAAACAAAAAATGGAGAAGTGTCCTTGGTGAGGATAAAAAAAAAAAGTGTGTAGCTGGTAATTATAGTTATCTCAGAGTTGTACAGTAGGTATCCAATATATGTAAGGCATTATTTATTTTTTATCCTGACCTAAGGACATTTTTTTTTTCATTTATCTTCAGATAGAGCGGGAGGGAGAGAGGGAGGAAGAGAGAGAGAGAAACATCGATGTGAGAGAGACACATCGAGTGGCTGCCACCCGCACAACCCCAACCAGGGCCAGGGACAAACTGCCACAGAGGCACGTGCCCTTAGCGGGAACCGAACCCGGGACTATTTGGTCTGCGGGTCGATGCTCTAACCACTGAGCAAAACCGTCCAGGGCTGTAAGATACTGTTTTTGAAGTAAAAGAATACTTTCTCAGGTATTTTTTTTAAGGCAGAAATTCTATTGCTTGTTGATTATGATGTGCAGGTTAATCTGTACAAAAGGGTTTTTTTTCCAAATCCTCTTTTAAAAGCTGTAGATGATCCTATTTGAGAGGGGGAAGAAAGTGTCTTTAAAAGACCAAAATTACGAGGTATGATGTGGCAAAGCATTGTTCTGTAAGTCATAGGAATCATTTAAATCAAGAAAACATTTATTGATGTCTCCAGTACATGGCAGGGTGCTAGGCATTTGGAAGCAAGGTACATATGAAAGGCAGGCCTATGTTCTTCAGGGAACTTACATTCTTTGGGTTTATACAAATCTAAATAGATTAAAGTAATTTAATGTTATAAGTGCTTTAGCAGTGACCTATAAAAGAATCTGTGGAAACATGGATTAGAGTGCAATTAAATGTACAGTTAACCCCTGGACAGCACAGGTTGATACCTCTGTGCAGTTGAAAATCCCCATGTAACTATAACTTAACTACAGTTGACCCTCAGTTTCCATGAAGGATTGGTTCCAGGATCCCCAAGGATACCAAAGTCTGTGGATGCTCCATCCAGTCCCTTAAATAAAATGGTATGGAACAGAGAGCTAACAGTCATCTGGGACCAGCCTTCCACATTCGCATCCACAGATTTCCAGCCGTGGATCGAAAATACTGCTTTCGAACTGCAGTTGGTTGAATTGTGGATGCAAAACCAATGGACATGGAGGGCCAGATGTATTTATTGAAAAAAATCTGTGTGTAAGTGGACCCATACAGTTCATACACTATTGTTCAAGGGTCACTCTACTATGTAATAGGAGCTGGGAACGAATAGTAGAAGTTGAGTGGTAGCTGACTGTTGATGGAGGAGGTGATGAAGTGATGATGATTGAGGTGAGTCTTATTTTTTTGAAAAAAAAAAATTTTTTTTTATTGACTTTAGAGAGAGAGAGAGGAAGGGAGAGGGAGAGAGATAGAAACATTGATGAGAGAGAACATTGATTGGCCGCCTCCTGCATGCCCCTCACTGGGGATTCAGCCCACAACCTGGGCATGTGCCCTGACCAGGAATCAAACTGGTGACCTCTTGGTGTGTGGGTCGGTGCTCGACCAGTGAGTCACACTGGCTGGGCTGAAAAAAGTTTTTTGTTGTTACATAATATATAACAGAGTGTGTAAAGTACACTTAAGTGTTGAACAGTTTAAAGATTTGTTTTTTATGTATGTACTGTGTTTTATATGTGTATACTTCTGATGAAGAATACTTTCAGTAAAACAATTTCCTAATGTCCCTTTCCAGTCTGTCCCTCTTTAGTCCTCTACTCCTCCTCTCAGGCCATGTTATAATTTCTGTCGTCCTGATTTAATTGCATGAACTTGAGTCTGGCTTTTTTCACTCAAGAAAATAAGCAATGAGAATTTTGCTTGTTGTATGTACCAGTCATCTTATTTATTTATTATTATTTTTTAATATCCTCACCCAAGGATAGTTTTCCATTTATTTTCAGATAGAGTGGGAGGGAGGGAAGGAGGTACAGAGAAATATCGATGTGAGAGAGAGACATCAGTTAGTTGCCTTCCACACGACCTTGACCAGGGCCGGGGACTGAACTGCAACTGAGGTACGTGCCCTTTGCTGGAATTGTTTGTTTGTTTTTTTATCCTCACCCGAGGACATTTTTTCCATTTTTTGTTCAGATAGAGTGGGAGGGAGAGAGAGGAAGAGAGAGAGAAACATCGATGTGAAAGGGACACATCGAGTGGCTGCCACCTGCACGACCCAACCAGAGCCGGGGACAAACTGCAACCGAGGTACGTGCCCTTAGCGGGAACCGAACCCGGGTCTCTCTGGACTGCAGGCCGACGCTCCAACCGCTGAGCCAAACCGGCCAGGGCCCTTTGCTAGAATTGAACCTGCGACTATTCTCTAACAACTGAGCCAAAGTAGCCAGTTGCTGTATAGTATTTGACTTTACAAATAAATCATAGTTTATCCGTTCTAATGCTGATGGGCATTTGGATTGTTTCCAGTCTTTGGCTACTATTAATCAGCTGCCCTATGCACATTCTCCTACATCGTCTTTTAGATTGCACACATGCATTCATTTCTTTTGACTGTATATGTACAAGTGTAATTGCTGAGTTCTAGAATGGGGCATTTTTAGCTTTTCGAAACTGCCAAACTTGTCTCCAAATGGATCGTATTATTTTTAATTCCCACCAGCAGCAAATGAGAGTTTTATCTGTGCTATATCTTGGTATTATCAGACTTAAATTTTAGCCATTCTGGTTATGTAATGCTACCTCCTTGTGGCTTTAATTTTTATTTCCCTGGTGAGTAATAATTCTGAGCACATTTTCACATACTTGTGGCTATATGGGATTTCTGTTTTGGTGAAGTGTCTAATCAAGCCTTCTATTTTATTGAATGGTTTGTCTTTTATGATTATGCAATTTTTTTTTTTTTTTTTTGGTACGTGCCCCTAGCAGGAACCGAACCTGGGACTCAAGTCCGCAGGCTGACACTCCAACCACTGAGCCAAACTGTTCAGGGCTGATTATATAAAATGTTTATGTATTTTGGAAATAAGTCCTTTGTCAGGTATATGTATTACAAATACATTTTTTATTTGAGAGTACATTTATTAAAGCTGGGGACAGTGAAACAAGGAAGTTGTAGGACAGAGGAAACAACAGGGGAGAGATTGGCAGGTCTGCTCTGGCTCTAGAAACGGAAATAAATGAGCCAAGGCGGGGTTGCTGTCAGCTCACTGGAGAGTCAGAGAAAAGGGGGCTTTGGGGTCAGGTTCAGGGGTTTAGCCTGTGATAAGCTGTCCGTGGCCCCCTGGTTGCTACCAGGGCCTAATCTTTTCAGCCTTGAAGGATCCCAGGTGAAAATGAATCTGCCAAACATACTGGGACGCTTGTAATTAAGGATCATCCTGGTGGAATCATATGACAAAATCCCTCCGAATTTAAACCTCAGGGCTCGGATCTAAACCGTTACTGTCATCTCTGCCTTTTAATTATATTCAAGGTAGCTGTTCTAAAATTTGAAATGTGGAGTTGTTTCAGCTGATTTGCTTGACTAACCAATATCAAACTGGGAACCCAAGGGCAAAGACTATCTTATTTATATTATATTCTTAATTATATTATATAGTATTTTGTATTATATATATTATAGTATAGTACAGTATAGTATATATTGGCCACAAAAGATACTTATTTTAATGTATTTAGACTAGGTGTTAGGGAATATAGGGGTGGTATCTTCTTGGAAAGTAAAAAGAGTAAGTATTTCCTTAAGTGGTAAGTAGCAATGCTTGGCTCTTGGCTCCTGTAGTGGACAGGGTTGTTCTATGGCAATATGGTAGTCTACAGGAGATGGAAACTTTGTCTGTCTGTCTGTCTGTCTGTCTGTCTGTCTATCTATCTATCTATCTATCTATCCATCCATCCATCCATCCATCCATCCATCCATCCATCCCCACCCACCCATCCATCCACCCACCCATCCATCCATCCATTCTCACCTGAGGACATTTTTCGATATTTTGTTCAGATAGAGTGGGAGGGAGAAAGAGAGAGAGAAACATTAATGTGAAAGGGACACATTGAGTGGTCGCCACCCACACGACCCAACCAGGGCCGGGGACAAACTGCAACCAAGATACGTGCCCTTAGCGGGAACCTAACCCGGGTCTCTGTGGACCGCAGGCCGACGCTCTAACCACTGAGCCAAACTGGACAGGGCTACAGGAGATGGAAACTTTAAAAAGCATTATTCTTTCTTGGTACTCAAAGTATGTGTAGTACATTTTCAAATTCTAAGAATTCAGTAACTTAAATACTAAACTCTCATGGTCGGGGTCTTGAGCTGAATATTCTTGATGCAGGCTGAGGACCACACATTATTATTGTTACTTACTATATATATATATTTGGTTAATCCTCACTTGAGGATATTTTTACCATTGATTTTTAGAGAGAGTGGAAGAGGGGGGAGGAAGGGGAATGAGAAAGGAAGAAGGAAAGAAACGTGACCTGGTCGGTGTGGCTCATTGAATTGAGCATTGTCCAATGGACTGAGAGGCCCCAGTTCGATTTCCAGTCAGGGCACATGCCTGGGTTGTGGGCTTGATCCCCAGTAGGGGGCGTGCAGAAGGCAGCCGATTGATGTTTCTATCTCGTTCTCTTCCTCTCTCTCTAAAACAATGAAAACATTTAAAAAATTGCCCTGGCCGGTTTGGCTCAGCGGTTAGAGCGTCGGCCTGCGGTACAGAGAGACCCGGGTTCGGTTCCCGCTAAGGGCATGTACCTCGATTGCAGTTTGTCCCTGGCCCTGGTTGGTCGTGCGGGTGGCAGCCACTCGATGTGTCCCTTCACATCGATGTTTCTCTCTCTCTCTCTCTCTCCTTTCCGCTCTATCTGAACAAAAAATGGAAAAATGTCCTCAGGTGAGGATAAAAAAAAAAAAAAAAAGAATTATTAATGGCGTTTTATAAGGAGCTTACTGTGAATTGTTTCAGTCAGCATTGGTTTTTACCACATTCTCTAAGCAGTTAAGTTCTGACATTTGGAAATAAACCTATGATTTACAAGATGTGTCTGGATATATACAGATACAGATCTATATCTATATATACCTGCCTTGAAAATGCGTGGAAAAGGATGAGTTGGGATAAGTATCTAGATATGCAGTGAAAGTATGAGGATGCCCTCAAAGGAGGATGTACTCCTTTTCACTTTTGCAGTTTTAGAGAGACTTTGTGAAAGTTAGGATATCTACTAATAGAGGGTTGTATTGTGTTTTTAGAAGTTTAGAATGGTAGAGGCACCTGCTGAAAGAAAGACCCTGGAAGCATGTAGATTATTTGTGATGTTATCTAGTTAAAGTGTGATATAAATTGAACCACTAGGAATAATCTGATGGATATAATTGGTATTCATGATAACAAATTTGTATGGCTAGAGTTTGATTGTCAAGTCAGAAACTAAGTAAAGTGAATAAACTACTGATAGAAAAGACACCAGCAATCTAGCCGTGGAGTTTTCTGTTTGGAGATCATTTCAGAAAATTGTGTTTTAGTTAACATTCATTTGTTAGAAGACCTGCAAATATGATTTTCTGAGGTTTAACTAGAAATAGCACACTTGTACTGTAGCTAATATATATATTGTATTTTTAGTGATATCCAAGCGTTCTATATTCAGTGTTGGAATATAAGATCCACCAGATTGACTCGAGTAATTAGCCTTTTGTTTTCTCAGTCTTGCAAGTACAGAAAGCTATAGAGGCAGTGTTTAATGGAACTTACAAAGAGGTTACCTAAGTCCAACTCTGAGCATAAGTCTTCTCTGAGGCTAGATCTAATAGTTAAAAAATCACTATTACTATATTTCTTTTCTGTCAGAACAGTAGAGAGGCTGCTGGAAGTTTAGAGATAGCATATATTATGAGGCAAAAGTAATTTTAAAAGTCCAGAAATGCAAGTATTTGTCAGGATACCTAATTCTTTGATGCAACACAGTTTATTTCTCCTCTTCAGAAAGTGGTTAATCCAAAACCAGATTTTTCTGGAAAGAAAATTTCACTATTTTTGTCTTGTGTGTAGTGGGAAGAGCAGTAAACTGGGAAGTCATGAAAGTTGAGCTTCCACTGCCTGTTACTTTGGTTAGCTTATAAAATGAAAGGGTTCTTAGTTTCTTTCTGGAATTATTTCTATAGCATCACTGATTTACTTCTGAAAATGTGAAATAGTCGTTCATTCATATTATACTTGTTTCCTACACAGCATCCCTGACATCCTTTTCTGTTTTTATTTAGTGTGTTGTTGGTGGCTGCAATGCCAGCTTTGCTTCTCAGGGAGGGCTAGCTCGCCATGTACCTACACACTTCAGTCAGCAGAACTCCTCAAAAGTTTCTAGCCAGCCAAAGGCCAAAGAAGAATCTCCTTCTAAAGCTGGAATAAACAAAAGGAGGAAATTAAAGAACAAAAGACGACGCTCATTACGTAAGTGTTTCACAGAAAATCTGTATTACAGTGCTTTTGTTTATATTGGGCTTTCTTGCAAATTCAGTTTTTACTGTTCTTCAACTCTGTCTGTTTTTGTTAACTAATAAACAGATAGGGTACCTCTGTGACAATGGGAGAATTCAGTGATAGAAATTTTATCTGTAGTAGCTAAGGGAGTGTGAATATATATGGCCTTAGAATACAGACTGTATAGAATTAGATTTTGAGGGCTACTTTGATTCTGTTCTAAGGACAATTTAAAACATGGCAGTGTCAAGTGTTTCTAACAGTATTTTAGAAAAATTGAACATGTTAAAGGTAAAAATCAAGTAACTGTTAAGATAGGTTTTACCTGCTCCAAAGTGATGTGTGTGTGTGTGAATAGCAAAACTATTTGTAGTCTGTTTCAGCACTGAACAGTCTTTATAGTAATACACACATACAGTTGTTAGGTGCTCAATTACCAGATTATGAGCTGAATCCTTGATATTTAGGATAGGACACAATTAGATGACAAGACTTGTAAATGTTGGGAGTAGAATTGACTTTGAAACCCCCAGAGCCTAGCACATTGCCTGGTTCTTAGTGTCAGCTGGCTAATTAAATATATCTTGAAGAAATATGATTGAGTGAAGCTGTCATTGAAAAGTGAGGCCACTGCAAGGGTGAAGTAGAGAGAGAAAAGAGGACACTTTACTTTTTCTGTTGGGATTTGAGTAGTGTAGAACAGACTCTAGACACTAATTCAGACTATAAAGCAAACATTGAATTTAGATAAAAATTGAATTTTTTTGGTTACTGCAAGGCTGCAGTAGACAAATGAACACATCACAAGTGAAAAGTAAACCTTCCTAAACTCTCTTAAGATTGTTATTGTTGAAATTAAACATTTATTTTTCAAAGTTGGCCACTGAATTGAGATTTTGGATCCATTTACTTTTTGATGATGTAACTCATCGTTTTAAAAACAGTGCTTGGGCACCCAATTCTAACATGTGTATTATTATAGTATAAGTTTAGTATTCTTGATACTTTAATAGTGGACATAACATCATTAAGGTCTGAATAGAATAGAATATGAAGTTTGAGGGCTCCTTTCATTATTGTGAATTTAATTCTGGTCATGATGTCTATGTTTGAATCTTGAATGAGGAGTGGTAGATTTGAATGATTTAGAGAGGTTAGTTATTTTTATTTTCTCTAAGTGTTTATCCTTCCCTGGAAAAAGCATATTTGTAGAGTATGGAGAAAGTACACCTTTTTCCCCCTGTAGTCACAGATCTAATAGGGAAGGGTTTTTTTTCCTCAGCATTAGGTAAAATCATGACTATTTTTTTCTCATAAGTGTTAAATATTTTTTTCTTACCAATTTTCCCATCATCATTGCATTCTTGGTCTTATGGGTTCTGCCAATTTTCCTTCTGAGAAAAAAATGTTCCTTCTGAGAAATAATAGATATGTAGGTTGTTTTACGTATGCCAGTTTGTGAAATCCTCCCCTCACAAAAACTCTGGTGAATTTGTGTAGATGTTCTGACAACTTCTGGAGGTAAATCCACTCCATATAGTAATCAGAATAGTGTGGTAAATCAGCTACATGTAATTCAGAATGCACTGTACCAGGAAATCAAGCCATTTCTTCTGTTATCAGTAAAATTTAATATTTTATTATAGACAGTCTTATAAAATTACATGTACTAGTAAACTTCACAGTGGTAAAACAATTCATTTTTCTGATTTTGATCAATGTTCTGATTAAGAATAAAAATGAACACAGTTGTAATAAGATTAGTGGGATGAAAATTAACTTTTTAAAAATGTTCTTACCATATTAAATCTTTAATGTATGACTTTGTTGTGAGCACACTAAAAGATTGCTTACCCTGGGTTTATGAGTTTATTATTTTTTAAAAAGTGGTATACACTTACTAATATAAACTGCTTTATGGCTTAACAAGGCATTAAAAAAATTGTCTTTCTTTCTTCTTTCTTTCTTTCTTTCTTCTTTCTTTCTTTTCTTTCTTTCTTTCTTTCTTTCTTTCTTTCTTTCTTTCCTTCCTTCCTTCCTTCCTTCCTTCCTTCCTTCCTTCCTTCCTTCCTTCCTTCCTTCCTTCCTTCCTTCCTTCCTTCCTTTCCTTCCTTTCCTTCCTTTCCTTCCTTTCCTTCCTTTCCTTCCTTCCTTCCTTCCTTTCTTATCCTCACCCGAGGATATTTTTCCATTTTTTGTACACATAGAGTGGGAGGGAGAGAGAGGAAGGGAGAGAGAGACAGAAGCATCGATGTGAAGGGACACATCGAGTGGCTGCCACCCGCACGACCAACCAGGGCCGGGGACAAACTGCAACCGAAGTACATGCCCTTAGCGGGAACCGAACCCGGGTCTCTACGGACCGCAGGCCGACGCTCTAACCGCTGAGCCAAACCGGCCAGGGCAAAAAAATTTGTTTTTCTTTATTGATTTCAGAGAGGAAGGGAGAGGGAGAGAGAAACATTGATGAGAGAGAACATCAATTGGCCACCTCCCGCATGCCCCCTACTGGGGATTTGGCCCACAACCTGGGCATGTGCCCTGACCGGGAATTGAACAGGCGACCTCTTGGTGCATGGGTTGATGTTCAACCACTGAGCCACACTGGCCGGGCAACAAGGCATTTTTTCATAGGCATTTATTTTAATTATTATCTATAGATGTTTATCTTCATTTCACAAATAGGGAAATTGGCTAAAGTAGATTTAAGCAGTTTACCCAAAAGCACACAGCTGATAAATGGAGGAGTTGAGAGTTAGAAATAATTTTGATGGACTACTCATTGACATTCAAAGGTGTATTTATAATGTTCTTAGAGAGTTATTTATAATCAAGAAAATACTTGTCAAAAACTTAAAAAAAAATGACCAGTTAAATTTGGAAAATTTTAAATTATATATTAATATAGAATATTTATGAAGTACATTCCATTGTTTGGTCATGGGGAATGAAATCTCAGTGTGGTGCACAGATGAAGGCAGTCATCAGATTGTTGAAAATGCAGAGTGGTGCTCAGGAGAGATACTGGAATAAAATATAAAATATATGGAAAACGATGGTAGCTGAAATGTGGAATCGTAAGACCTAAAATTAGAACCTCACACATCAAGGGGCCGAATTAACCCACATTCACTCTTGGAATTCTGCTTTTGTACATCCTTATCTTGTCAGCTAGACTCCTTGTTTTGAAAGCAAAGAAAAATTTGGATTTAAACACTAGATTGATACTCATCAACTGTTTAAATCTTTCTTACTTATTCCATGGTTTTGTGGAAAACAGACTACATGGCTGTTTGGCAGACTGTTATATTTATCTACACATTCTTTATCTCTTTTGTATTGATTTTTAGCACGGCCACATGACTTCTTCGATGCACAAACACTGGATGCGATAAGACATCGAGCCATATGCTTTAACCTCTCAGCTCAAATAGAAAGTTTAGGGAAAGGACACAGTGTTGTTTTTCATAGTACTGTAAGTATTTTTTTCATTTGTGTGTTTTTAAATTATCTGTATAGGTTTTTTGCAGGAACGTGTATTTTGACTTTTATAATTGTATTTCTAAATTGCTCAAAATCTAAGAAAATACAATTTAACAAAAAAATTCACAAAACATTTTGCTTTATAAACATTTTTAAAATTACTTGTATTATTGGTTACAAATCAAGTATTTCCCACAATGTGACATTTTTACTATTAAAAAGAATATTTTAGCCTTTCGTTTGAACTATTTGGGAATGTTGGGTTGGCATTTGGCCCACTAGGCAGTGGTGTCTTTTTTGACCTGATGTCCTCATTTGTAAAATTAGAACTTTAGACTCCTTTTAGCTCACATCCTTGTGAAAAATCAATACATAGTGTATTTTTAGTTAAGTAAGAGTTAATAGAGTTCTCGCTTCCCATGCTCCTTGCTGTTTGTCCAGTCATCTTTAAATTGCTGTAGTTTGTTGAAGGTAAGTTAGTGGACATAAAATTTTAGACCAGACTCTTCACTAAGAATCCCTAGAAAAAGATAATGTTTAATTTTGGCTGCTGAAATACAAATTACACTAAATTAAGGTTTTATTTTTATAGTTCAATTAAAATGCATAAGAATTTAAATACAAAAGGTCAGTATTGATATCATTGTCTTTACTGGTTTGAATCTGTATTTTTTCCATCTCCTATAATAATTATATTTTCTTGGCATTTTTACTTTTTTGTCTATGTATATTTCCAATTCCAAATTTCCAATTTCTTTGTGATTTTTCTTTTATTTATTTATTTATTTATTATTTTTTTATTCATTAATTTTTGTTACAGATGTTTCTCCTTTCCCCCCTACTGATTCCCCCCTCCCCCTCCCTCCCTGCCCTTTCCTAAGTTCGTTGTCCCATGTCCACTGTTCATGCATGCATGCATATAAGTTCTGTGGTTTATCTCTTCCCCACCCCCACCCCCCCTATTTAGGGGATTGTCAGTCTGTATCCCATTTCGACGTCTCTGGGACTACCCCCTTCCTCAGACTGTTACGTTCATTATATTCCACCAAATTTCCAATTTTGATTTATAAAATTAAAGGCAAGAAATTAAAAGGTTAGATACAAAAGAAAGGGAACCTTTTCTGAGTTGAGACACATGAGAGATGTGAATTTGGGTTCAAGGAAAGGTGTAGTATACTTATGGTCTTTTAAAGAATATTAGAAATGTAGTTGTCTAAATAAGGATAGAAGGGTTGGAAGGAAAACTAGAGGGATTGAAGGCAGAGTTGAAGTGGTTGCACTGGGAATTTTATTGGGATTCAGGAAGATCAGGAGCTTGCTCAGCAATGATGGCTGGATGTCCCCATTTGAAGTTTGATAATATAGGTTTAGGTTTATGATTTGGTAGGTTTGTGAATTGTTCAATAAGATGTGGTCCCCAGTCCCACGGACTAAAGAGTCTTGGGTTCTATTCCAGTCAAGGGCACGTGCCTTGGTTGTGGTTTGGTCTTCCATCCTGGTCAGGGTCTGTGCGAGGCAACCAATCGATGTGTCTCTCTCACATCAGTGCTTCTCTCTCTCCCTCCTTTCCTCACACTCTATCTGAAGATAAATGGAAAAATATCCTCGGCTGAGGATTAAAAAAAACAAACTACACCAAACCATGCCTGTGCTCTAGTGGAAGAGACTTGATAAACAAGAAAGATTAGTAAAAATGTAACAACTTAAATTTAAGTACAAGCCATTCATTTATTAGGGGATGAGCATCATAGACAGTGGGAAAATCAACTACAAAATCCTGAAATGGGAATATGCCGTGTATTTTTTTTTTTTCTTTTATCCTCACCCGAGGACATTTTTGTGTTCATCTTCAGATAGAGCTGGAGGGAGCGAGGGGGGAAGAGAGAGAGAGAGAGAGAGAAACATCAGTGTGAGAGAGACATATCGAGTGGTTGCCACCCACACGACCCCAACTGGGGCGGGGATGAACTGCAGCCGAGGTATGTGCCTGTAGCAGGAACCGAACCCAGGACTCTCTGGTCCGCAGGCTGATGCTCTAACCACTGAGCAAAACCAGACAGGGCTATGCCAAGTATTTTGAAAAACAGTGAGGAGCCAGTGTGGCTAGAGGAGATGAGTGAGGCAGGGAGAACAGGAGTTAAGTCAGAGAGGTACTAGGGAGAACCTTGTTGGGCCAGGACCTTGGCTTTTATTCTGAAGCCATTGAAGGAGTTTGAACAGCCCTAGTCTAATGTGATTTTTATTGCTTTTTTCTTACTCAGATTTTTAACAATTGATTTGAGAGAGAGGAAGCAGGAGAGAGAGAAAGACAGAAAGAAACATTGATGTGAAAGAGAAACATCAATTGTCTGCCTCCTGCAACCTGGACATGTACCCTGACTGGAAATCAAACCCTCCACATTTTGGTGTATGGGACGATGCTCCAACACGCCAGGGCTGGTGTGATCCCCACCCCCCCATCTTTATTAATTTATTTTTGTTACAGGTATTTCTCTTTTTTACCCCCCAGACACCGTCCTCCCCATCCCCCCCCCCCCAGCATTGTTGTTTATGTCCATTGGTTATGCATACATGCATATAAATTCTTTGGTTCATTTCAAGGGGTGGTGTGATTTTTTAAAAATAATTTTTTATTGAGGCATTATAATATAAACTGCATCCAGTTAAAAGTATATAATTCTAGCACAGCTGGTGTGCTTCAGTGGATTGAGCGTCATCCCATGGACTGGGAGGTCCCGGTTTGATTCTTGGTCGGGGCACATGCCTAGGTTTCGGGCTCAGTCCCCAGTAGGGATGTATAGGAGGCATCCAATGGATGTTTCTCTCTCACATCCATGTTTCAATCTCTCTCTTAAAAAAAAAAAAAAAAATCAGTAAAATATATTTTTAAAAAATATACAATTCTGTGAATTTTGGCAGTACTATTTACCTATGAAACTACCACTACCACAGTGAAAATGCAGACCATTTCCATTAATCAGATCTTGTCTGTTGTAACTCTCGTTCATCTTTGCCTCCTCACCCTAGAGAACTAACTCACTGATCTCTTTCCTCTCGTGTAAGTTTTAATGTGCTTGCTTTCCCCCCTCTGTTGTGAGAACCCATTGTAGGTTAGAGTGCAGGGAAATAGGGATCAGTCTTCTCAGTATCTCATGTGAAAGAAGACTGGAATGGTTCTAGTGGAGATGCCAAAGAGGTTAGATTCTCGGTATCTTTTGAAAGTAGTACTGACAAAAATTATGGGTGGATCACATGTCAGGTTAGATGAAGAGAGGAAAGGATGGCTTCATTTTTTTTTTTTTTTTTTTTTTTGGCATGGGCTACTGGCCAAAAAGATGGAATTGCCGTTTCAAGTAGAGGCTGTCCGGGTGAGCAGCTCGGAGGAGATGGGTGTATTAAGAGCTGTAATTTTGGCGCTTTTTGTAGAGCCATATAGTGCCTGTGTCACGTAGGCAGATGGATGCACGAGTTGTGGCTACAGGTTCAAATATGGAAGTTTTTAGCATTATTAGTTGTGTTTAAAGGTATCAGACTAGACTGGATCACCTAGAAACTAAGTATAAACAGAAAAGAAAAGAAATTTAAGGACTGAGGTTTGGGGCTCATTAATATTTAATGAGCAATGAATCTGATGAAATAATGGTCTAGTAATGAGCCAGGATCACTGCATATTGGGGAATACTGAGTGGTGATGGCAGTGATAAAGAAGGTATTGTATTTTTTAATAATGAGCTATTCTTTTTTTTTTTTTTAATCCTCACCCAAGGACATCTTTGCATTTATCTTCAGATTGAGCAGGAGGGAGAGACGGGGGAAGAGAGAGAGAGGTAGAAACATCATTGTGAGAGAGACACATGGACTGGTTGCCACCCACATGACGCCAACCAGGGCTGGGGACGAATTGTACCTGAGGTATGTCCCCTTAGCGGGATCCAAACCTAGGTCTCTCTGGTCCGAGGGCCGACACTCTAACTGCTGAGCCAAACTGGCCAGGGCGCTATTATTTTTTAAAAATATTTTTCTTTATTGATTTTAGAGAGAGAGGAAGGGAGAGGAGAGAGAGAAACATTGATGAGAGAGAGAACATTGATTTGCTGCCTCCTGCACACCCCCACTGGGAATGGGGCTCACATCCTGGAAATGTGCCCTCACCAGGAATTGAATTGGCGACCTCTTGGTGCATGGGTCGACGCTAAACCACTGAGCTACACTGGCTGGGCAAGAAGATTGTATTTTAAAAAGGGAAGCCCCAACTTCTACATGCTTTCATTAGAGTAGCTCCTCGTGATAAAATCCTTAGGTTTACCATGAGAGGAATTAAGATGATCAAAAAAGAAAAAGAAATGAAGAAACTAAAGATAATGGTGATGATGTAAGGAGTTTGAAAGAAAATTAAAAAATTTAAATAAAAAAAAAATTAAAAGTGTAGTATATGATGTCATATAGAGAGTTAAAGTAGTGTATGATGATGGAAATAAGTTTTCTAACTGTAGAAAACATCTAGGAGGTTTTAAGATCATGAAACCTTATGTTTATCATAAAAACAACAACAACAACAAAAACAGGAATAAGAATGACTTGCTACATCCCCAAGTGACACTGAGGAGGCAGAGGTAACCTTGACTGAGGAAAATCACAAAGGGTGGGGTGTAATCTGGAGAAAGCTTTTTCCTGGGGTAGGGGGAAGGAAGAGGACATGTACAATGGGAAAAAGGTCTTTGTTAGACACAATGGAAAGGAAGGAGCTAGGTGAGCAAGTTCTCCGAGTTCCATGGCTGGGAAGGTTTAGATGGAGGAGCAATATGTGTTAAGCAGAATCACTTCTATTAGCAGTCAAAATGTTCAATACCAACTACAGATTTAAGTTTTCTAGTTATCAAATTAACTTTATAGGAAATATACTGATAATGAAACAATTTGTAGAAAAATGTGTATGTGAGGTACTATGCTGTGCAGTTTGCCTAATTTGTCTTCTTTAATTGAAACATTTTCTTTCGAGCCTTCTCCAGAAGAGGTCAGCAGATTCCTAGTTACCAGTCAGTTGGCTTGCTGTGCTTGCTTGGTTTGCATTGTTTTCATATTTTATTGTTATTATTTTTTTTGTAGAGGTATTTTGTTTTAGCATCTTCATCTCTGTCTTTGGGCTTTAATTTCATTGTCAAGTCTAGAATTAATGTGCTTAATTTAACTATATAGGGTTTTCAATAAGAGAGATAGAAAGGGTTTTATTTTTGCATAGAATGCTGCTGTTCTAATCTGTTTTGAGGATGGCATATAATTTTGTGTTGTTTGGAACTTAAACTTGGTAAAAATATTGAGATTTAGATTATTAAAACACATGAAGTGCTGATTTTGTTAATATGGAAGAGGTATAAAATACCATCTTGATCTGTTTTTATTTAGCATTACCTTAACTTTCAGAATCTGGTAATGAATGGCAAGTATATTGTTTTTCTTACACTTCTATAGGTCTTTTTTGTTTAGGTTGATCCACCCTTTAACCTAGGTGATTCATTAAGGTTGAATCTAAACATTGATGGAGCAATGTTACATTTAAAATAAAACCAACGAACCAACCAACCAACCAACAAGCAAAAAAACCCCAAGTAAACAAACAAACAAAAAACCTTGGTTGTAAATTGTAGACTTTTCCTTTCCCAGAAATATTTTTTCTTTATTGTTTATTCTTTAAAAATATTCCAGCCAATGGAATATTGGATTGTTTGTTCTTGGTTAGCATTCTAGCTAAGCCACGGACTTGAGAGATAGTAAATAGCATTTTTAGTCCCTTAATAAAGATAATATGGTTTTTCTATTTGGCTGTGCAAACCTTGTCTTCAGTTCCTTTTTTCTCTTTTCAAAAAATATATAATCAAAGGTAAAATTGCTACAAAATAGGGCAGAACAAGATGTTGTTTGTAGTAATATCTGGTCTAGGATATGACACTTCAAAGTTCTTGTTTAAGATTAAAAGTGCCTTTTAATGATATATTACAATAATGTGGTACATCATTTTTATGATTTCTTATTGTAGGTAATTGCTAAGAGAAAAGAGGATTCTGGAAAGATAAAATTTTTGCTTCATTGGATGCCTGAAGACATGTAAGTATTTGGAATATTATGTGTAATTAATACAGACTAATGTCTTACTTTTAAATCTTCAACAATTACTTATATTATTGGATTCAGATATAAAGACTTACCGAAATTAATCTATAAATATTTTGTGGTTCTCAGGATTAAAGAGATAATCTGTGAAAGCTCTTACAATACCGGCTCCAGGTATAAGCTTTACAATTAGCTTTTTATTGTTTTTAATAGAAGTTGTTGCAGTAATTTTTCATAGGATGTGATTATTTTTTGGATTTTTCATGACTCGGATAGTATGTAAGCATCCTTAATTGTCCCTTCGATTGAATCATTTATTTTAAAAAATTTTCTAAGCGTTTTCTAGCCCACAGTTTTTTTTTTTTGTTTTGTTTTTTTTAATCCTCACCCGAGGACATTTTTCCATTTTTTGTACAGATAGAGTGGGAGGGAGAGAGAGGAAGAGAGAGAGAGAGAGAGAGAGAAACATCGATGTGAAAGGGACACATCGAGTGGCTGCCACCCGCACGACCAACCAGGGCCGGGGACAAACTGCAGCCGAGGTACATGCCCTTAGCGGGAACCGAACCCGAGTCTCTCCGGACCGCAGGCCAACACTCTAACCGCTGAGCCAAACTGGCCAGGGCTAGCCCACAGTTTTTTAAAGAAAAAGCAATTGACCAGCTTTCCAGCAGCCTTACATTTATCTTTGTGTCTTAGTACCCCTTAGAGCACTTTTGACCCAGATACTCCCTAATTTAGATATTTAAATTTTCTTTTTATCCTTTTATAAAAATTTTTTTTTATTACAATAGACAATAGAAGTATATTTGTGGAAATTTTGAATGGACTTGATAAGCACCAAGAATAGAATTAATTTTACTTATTTATTTACAATTTTATTTTATTCCATTTGTTTTTTGTTTTGTTTTTATCTTCACCTGAGGACATTTTTCCATTTATCTTGAGACAGATTAGGAGGGAGGAAGAGAGGGGGAGAGAGAGAAACATCGATGTGAGAGAGACACATCGACTGGTTGCCTTCTGGGCGACCCCAACTAGGGCTGAGGACGAACTGCAAATGAGGTACATGTCCTTGGCCAGAATCGAACCTGGGTTTCATTGGTCCATGGTCTGACACTCTAACCGCTGAGCCACACCTGCCAGGGCAAGAATAGAATATATTTTAGAAAGTGGAATCAAAGTATGTATATTTATTTTTCAAAATTAAGCAATATGTGGTTAATACTTGTTCTGGATATTAAATAGTTTTTTACAGTTTTGTTTCTCAAACTCTGTTTAAGAAGATGTTAATGAATGTGATATGAATGAAAAGTTCTTAAATAGATTTGGGAGTTTACAGTGCACATTAGCATAGCAATATAAAGAAATCTTTTTTTTTTTTTTACTCCTGTAACTATTAAACTTCTATTAGTGTAGAATGTATGTTCCATCACTTTCTCCCCGTTTCCTTTTAGGTTTTATGAAATGCTACTGTAAGACATTTTGTTTTACTTAAAAATATTTTAATCCTCACCAGAGGATATTTTTTCTGTATCTTCAGATAGAGTGGGAGGGAGGGGGAGAGAGAGAAACATCGATGGGAGAGAGAGAGAAACATAGATGTGAGAGAGATACACTGGCTGTGGCTCTTACTGCTGTGCCAAATCGTCCAGGGCTAACCAGGTAAGATCATTTTTTTAAAAAAGAACTTTTTAGCCCTGGCTGGTGTGGCTCAGTTGGTTGAATGTTGTCCTGTGCACCAACAGGTCACCAGTTCGATTCACAGGGCATTATGCCCAGGTTTCGGGTCAGTCCCCACTTGGGGCACATATGGGAGGCAGCTGATCAGTGTTTCTCTCTCTTCCTCTCTCCCTTTCTTTCTCTAGTAATCAATAAAAACATTTAAAAACTAATTTTTATTTAAATATATGTAATTCTTTAAGCATATTCATCATCCTAATTCTACTCCTACTTAAAGCACTTAAAATAAATTTTTTATATCTTTTTTCTTTTTTTTTCTTTTTATTATTTTTTTAAATGTTTATTGTTGAATGTATTACAGGTGTTTCTCATTTTTCCCCCATTGGCCACCGTCCTTCCCACTCCCGCCCCCCTCCTGCCTTTTCCCACACTGTTGTCTGTGTCCATTGGTTATGCATATAAGTTCTTTGGTTTATTTCTTCCCACCCCCCAACCCCGTTTTCCCTTTGAGGTTTGTCAGTCTAGCAACCAATTTGTTCTTCTTAATCCCTTCCCCTTTTTCACTCATTCCTCCAACCCCCCTCCCATCTGGCAACCAACAAAATGTTCTCTGTATCTATGAGAATGTTTCTGTTCTGCCTGTTCATTTTGTTTGTAGATTCCATTGTCGGTGGGTATGTATTCATTTTGTTTGTTCATATGTTTTATCTTTTTCTTCAAAAAGACCCTTCAACATTTCATATAATAATGGTTTGGTGGTGACGAACTCTTTTAACTTTTTGTCTGGGAAACTATATGGCCATCGATTCTAAATGACAGCTTTGCAGGATAGAGTAATCTAGGTTGTAGGTTCTTGCTTTTCATCACTCTGAATGTTTCTTGCCACTCCCTTCTGGCCTGCAAAGTTTCTTTTGAGAAATCAGCTGACAGTCTTATGGGAACTCCCGTGTAGGTAACTAACTGCATTTCTCTTGCTGCTTTTAAGATTCTCTCTTTGTCTTGAACCTTTTGCATTTTGATGATGATGTGTCTTGGTGTGGGCCTCTTGGGGTTCATCTTGTTTGGGACTCTCTGTGCTTCCCGGACTTGTACATCGGTTTCCCTCACTAAGTTAGGGAAGTTTTCTGCCGTTATTGTTTCAAATAGGTTTTCAATTTCTTGCTCTCTCTCTTCTCCTTCTGGCACCCCCAAGATGAGAATGTTGGCACGCTTGAAGTTGTTCCAGATGCTCCTTATACTATCCTCATTTTTTGGGGTTCTTTTTTCTTTTTGCTGTTCTGATTGGGTGTTTTTTGCTTCCTCATATTCCAAATCGATGGTTTGCTTCTTGGCTTTACCTACTCTACTTTTGAATCTGTGTAAATTATTCTTTATTTTAGTTAGTGTGTCCTTCATTTCTTACTGGTCCTTTTTTGTGCTCTTGAGGCCCTCACTAAGTTCACTGAGGTTCTCACTAAGTTCATTGAGCATCTTTATGAAAGTATTTTGAACTCAGCATCTGTTAGGTTGCTTATTTCCATTTCGCTTAGTTCTTTTCCTGGAGATTTTTTCTGTTTTTTTCATTTGGGATCTGTTTCTTTGTCTCCTCATTTTGGCTTCCTCCTTGTGTTTGTTTCTATGTATTTAGTTAACAGGAGGTACGGGGCTAGCTGAGACCAGATGCTGCTTGTTTGAAAGAATTTAGGAAAACCTGAAGCAGAATCCAAGACAGGCCAATCCTATGGTTAAGCAACTGGCAGCAGCTTGGGTGGGCCTGAAAGTTGGGTGGGGCGGGGCCTCAGGGAGTCAGCAGGGTGGGGCTACCAGTGTGAGCCAGGTTGCTGGAGTCCCAGATATGGCGACTGTCTGCCGCCCCAGGGAAGGGCTCACCAAAGGAACAAAGGCCTCTGACAGCACGTGTGTCCCGGAGAAAGCCCCCCTCTCCAGCCCTCACTCCAGTGCCAAACAGCTCAGTTCTTCCCTGTATGTCTCTGGCGCCCCTCGAGCTGCCTCCCCTCCGAGCTCAGAGGGAGAGAGTCCGATAAGTCCGTGCGCGGGCCCTTTAAGGAGCTGCCTGGGGCTGCAGCCGCTTCAGCTTCCCTGAGCCTCAGTTCCCGCTGGTTTTTCCAGCCAGAAGTTATGGGGATTCTCTTCCTGGCACTGGAACCCTGAGCGGGGCACCTGGTGTGGGGCGGGGACCCCTCTGTCCTCAGGGAGGACCTTCCCAGCCTCGGGAGCTTCCTGATTTTTATCCGCCACACTTGGGTGTGGGACCAGCCCGTCTTCCTCCGCCCCTCCTACCAGTCTGGATGTGGCTGCTGCTTTAATTCCCTAGTTGTAGGACTTCCATTCAGCTTGATTTCAGGAGGTTTTGAATGATGGTTGTTCTGTAGTTTAGTTGTAACTTTGATGTGGTTGTGGGAGGACGTGATACCGCGTTTACCTACGCTGCCATCTTGACTGGAAGTCTTATATATCTTTTTTTAAAAATTGAATTTATTGGGGTGACACTGGTTAATAAAATTATACATCATCTGTATGTATATTGTATTGTGTGTTCACTATCCCAAATCAAGTATCCTTCCCTCACCATTTATCCCCCATATCCTTTCTGCCTCTCCCTCCTCCTCTGGTAATTATCATGCTGTTGTTTGCGTCTTATGAGCCCCCTGCCGGCCTTTTCTTTCGTTCTTTTTTCTCTCTCTTAATTCCTTCACCTTTTCCACCCAGCCTCGAAACCCCCCTCCTTCGACAGATGTCAGTTTGTTCTCTGTGAGTCTGTTTCTATTTTGTTTGTTAGTTTATTTTGTTAATTAGATTCCACATATGAGTGAAATTATGTGGTACTTGTCTTTGACTGCTGGAGTAAGACATTTTTAAATGGCCCTGTAAAATTTATTTGATGAGCTGCTTTTCACTAAACATTTAAGTTATCAGTTTTTCTCTACTGTTACAGGAAGAGATATTCAAATCTATTACTATAACCCGGCCAGTGTGGCTCAGTGGATTGAGTGTTGTCCCATGGACTGAGAGGTCCCAGTTTGATTCCCAGTCAGGGCACATGCCTGGGTTGCAGGCTCAATCCCCAGTAGGGGGCATGCAGGAGGCAGCTGATCAATGTTTCTCTCTCATCGATGTTTCTGTCTCCCTTCCTCTGTCTCTAAAAAAAAAAATCAATCACTCACATCTATTAATATATAAACTATGCAAAATGTTAGAGGTTTTGATAGACATTGCCCTCTTGAGTTTTTACCAGTTTCTAATGCCATCTACTACATTAGAGAGCTTTCCTCTCTCGTTTGTAATCAATACTGGCTATTATCATTCTTACATTTTGCATTTTTTTTTATAAGTAATATATATTTTTTAATCCTCATCTGAGGATATTTTTCTATTGATTTTTAGATAGAGAGGGAGGGAAGGAGAGAGAGAGAGAAAAACACATTAATTGGTTGTCTCCCGCACGACCCCAACCAGGGCCAGGGATCAAACCTCAACCTAGGTATGTGCCCTTGACTGGAATCTAACCCACAACTCTTTGGTCCATTGGCCGTCGCCCCAACTGCTGAGCCAAACTGGCCAGGGCCAAGTAAGATAATTTTTTACTGTTTGTATCTTTGCTGAATCGATGGTTTGTGTTCTTTGTTTACCCTGTCCCCTTTTCCCTAATGAATGTTCACCTCTTTCATACTGATTTATAAGAGCTATTTTTATAAAGTAAAGTTATAAGCATACAGGTGGGGCAAAAGTAGGTTTATTGTTGGGTTTACTGTTGGGAGTATGTGAAACAGTTTATTTTGTATTATTATTTATCATTGTGTTATTTTTCATACGAACAACTGTATACTTACTTTTGTCAACCCTATGGTTTCTGTTAAAATATGTTTAAGTGTCTGTGTATTCTTAGTATTCTGAAAGTTGATTAATCCAAATATCAAAATGCTTTTATTTGAATTTCCTTGTAGAATTACTTTTCTTTGATTTTAGAATTTTGATTACATGTGAAATTTTTATAGTGGAATTTGGGGTTTTTACTTTTTCTTTCTTTTTTAAAATTTTTTTCTTTATTTTTTTTAGAGAGAGAAGAAGGGAGAGGGAGAGAGAGAGAGAAATATCGATGAGGGAGAACATCAACTGGCAACCTCCTGCATGCCTTTCACTGGGGATTTGGCCCACAATCTGGGCATGTGCCCTGACCAGGAATCGAACCCGCACCCTCTTGGTGCATGGCTCGATGTTCAGCCACTGAGCAACACTGGCTGGGCTACTTCTTATTTCTTCATAAAGAAACTCTGTGTCAGATTTCCATCAAGTCGGGCTCAAGTGTGCATTTCACTCAGCAATTTAAAAGACAGGCAGTGTGTTCTAATAATGTGTTTCTAAGTTTGATAGGGCTTTGCCACCAAGAGTTCCTAATGCACCCCAAATTTGTGCCTAAAATTTCACTCTGTACTTCGTGTCCCACACCTGAGTTCCCTTGGCTTGTGAAAAGCTTGTTAACCTAGGTTGCCCTGTCAAACTAGTGAAAGCAACTGGGTAATGTGAAGGTATATGAGGGATAAATTCAAAATTAATGTGACTGTTTTTGAATTTATAGTCTGCCTGACGTGTGGGTGAATGAAAGTGAGCGACATCAATTAAAAACTAAAGTAGTTCATTTGTCAAAGCTACCCAAAGATACTGCCTTGCTTTTGGACCCAAACATATACAGGTAATTTAATTCTTGATTTGATGTTTTACTTTCTGAATTGTAATCTTTAAATCTCTCTAAATATTAGATGTAAAGTTAGGATTTATTTTTTAAGTTCTGAATTCAGTACCAAGCATAATGTTTTCTGGAGCTTTCTATATGGCAGTTACATCACAAAGATTTATAAATTATAGAATTGAGAAAGATAACATTTTGATGAAGTTTATATGTCACTTTAATTCCAGATTTATCTTAAGTTGCTTCATTGTAATAAACATAGTATTTTGAAAATAAGTGCCTCTTGTTTAAGTATATAATACGTTTTATAATATCAGACATTTGTAGACCTAAGAATGTGTTGCATGTGCCCTAAATACCATAAATGATTGTGTTTTTTAAACTTAGACTATTCCCAACGGTTTCAGACGAGCAGTTTATATATATATATATTTATTTTTTTCTTTTTTTTCATCCTCACCCGAGGACATTTTTCCATTTTTTATTCAGATAGAGCGGGAAGGAGAGAGAGGAAGAGAGAGAAACATTGGTGTGAAAGGGACACATCGAGTGGCCGCCACCCACACGACCCAACCAGGGCTGGGGATAAGCTGCAGCCAAGGTACATGCCCTTAGCGGGAACCAAACCCGGGTCTGTGTGGACCGCAGGCTGACGCTCTAACCGCTGAGCCAAACTGGCCAGGGCAATTACTGTTTGTTTTTAAGAGGTAGCTCAGAGTGTTTACATTTCTAATACTTTTCTGATCTGACCTTTGTTTTAGTGTACTGTACTTACGAAGGTATGGGGATGAGTGAGAAGAGACCCAACATTTCTTATTATGTACTGGGTCAGTTTGCTAGGTGCTTTAAATATACTTCACTCACACAGCAGTCCTGTTAACTAGGTGTTACTCTCTCTGTTTTACAGGTTAGAAAACTGAGGTTAAATACCTTGCCCAAGGTTATACAGATAGTGTGTGACTCAACTCCATACTACCTGTATCCAAATGACATATACTAGGGTGACTTCAAAAGTGGGGAAAATGCTTTAAAGGCACTCTTATTGAACAAACTTTATATATATATTGTTTTTTAAAAAACTCTTTTTTTTTCTTTATTGATTTTTAGAGAGAGAGGAAGGGAGAAGGAGAGAGAGAGAAACCTCTATTGGCCTCCTGCATGCCCCCCATGGGGATTTGGCCCACAACTTGGGCATGTGCCCTGACTGTGTACCGAACCAGCGACCTCTTGGTGCATGGGTCAGTGCTCAACCACTGAGCCACACCGGCCAGGCCAAACTTCCTGTATTTTTAGAAGAAATTTTAATTTAATGTATATTTACAATAGGAATAGTGTGGATAAGAATAAGAGGACATATAATGATTGATAATCCCAAATGTGAATTTTAGCTATCATAAGGAGACTGTGTCCTATGCCAAATTTTTGAAGTAATTAATATTTTGAAGGTTCTGATCATTCCATGACTCAACTTTTGGAATGTTGTTCAATGCAATAGGATTTCTGTAATTTGGGACATCTTCTGAGAATGAAATTCTAACATAATGGGCCTTGCCATGTGGAAACACTGAGATTCTTGAGTTTTTCATACTCAAAAAAAAAAATCTTTTGGTGAAAGTACTAAATACAGTAAACCTTGTTTTTTGTGGAATGAACTAGATTATAAAGAAATTAACTAGTATAGAGAACAATGAAATGACTAAAAAAAAGATTGAGGGAAATCCACTAACAAAAGTATAGAAAAGTCACTATTTAAGAAATAATTGAATGTTGTTTATTTACTGGTACCTAATTTAGGGTTATTTCTACTTACTCTTTGAAGGGAGTAATTAAAATTAGCATTCTAAAAGAGTGATATTTTGGGAGAGCCACCCTACTATTACAACTGGTTGTAAACATCTCTTAGGCAGAGTTGACAAAGGGGCATGAATCTTAATTATATGATTAAGACTAGCTTCAGCAGTTTTGCCCTGCATTCTACTTTCCTCTCTCTAAGGGTCTTCCGTTCTCACAGAACCAGCTTATTTTTTATTTTTTTTTTTCTGTTCTTGTGCTATATAGGAAGCAATTGAGATATTTAGTGAAAGTGACTTAAAAAAAGTCATTACAGCTCAGAACTGATGTTATTAAGTGCATAGGAATTAGGTTCTCATAGTGCAGTTCTATAATACTTACTGATTTCTTTTTTGGGTAATGAAGATGTTCTTAAGACATATAGATACTCCTGTGGAGGTAAATTTTTTTAACTGTACCTTACCTTCCCCCTAATCTTAACATTTAATTTTGAGTCTAAACTTCCATGCTTCTGCTATTCTGGAAGTTAGAATTTAGTCTACCCTAAAGTGATACTGAGTAATAGAACCCCCTACATTTGCTGTGGTGTAACATCTTAACAATCTTTTAGATTTTGATAGGGAAAACTTGTGAAATTAAGTAAAAGGGGAAAAAGCAATTGTTTTTAACTTGTTTTAGGAGAAATGATTTGCAGTTTATGCATAGCTCAAAATGAAAGCATGGCAAACCTTGTAGAAATATATTAAAAAGACTAAAAACAATCTGTTTGATATTTTAAACATCAGCTTTCAAAGTACTAGTTGGTTAAAATGCATGTGTTAGACATGAGATTCTTTTTTAGAGATATACTAGCAGGCTACATAAAAAGAGTTAATTAAAAAACTATACTATGTAACTAAATTTGCATTCATTATATGTAGATGTTTTGGCAGTAAATTTTTAAAAAAACTTATATTTTTATTGATTTTTTTAGGGAGGAAGGGAGAGAGAGAAACGTCGATCGGCTGCCTCCTGTATGCCCCTGTCTACAACCTGGGTGTGTGCCCTGACTGGAAATTGAACCTGAGACCTCTCAGTCCACAGGACGATGCTCAGTCCACTGAGCCACACCAGCCAGGCTGGAAATAAATTTTAATGATGATCAATGATCATCATCACATTGCCTATAACTTATAAATATTTTTAATGTCTTTCTTGAAGTACTTAATGTGTTTTTGATACAGTTGAATAAAAGAGTGTTCTTTATTTTTCTCTTTTTCTAGAACAATGCCACAGAAGAGGTTGAAGAGGTAAAAAATAAATAAATACATAAAAGCAAACAAGCGGGGACACCTGCAGTCTTAGTCACTGACAATGGGTTTAGTAAAAGTTGCACATTAGTGTCAACCCCCTTCCTTTTTTAATCCAATATTTAGAATAATATTTATGCTTAGTGTAAACATTCTGTGAATGAAGTAGGCTCTTCTGTGGAATATATTAATATATTACTGTATATCCACATTTTCATGGAATGGTACTGTGGGAGACTGAGCAAACACTCTTCTGGCAACTTAGTGGAATAGCTTCTTAAAGGCTTTGCATGCTTGCTGCTTTAAGCTGCTTTTTCCCCCTTTAGTGATTGCAGTAGTTTATATTGGAAAGAAAAACAATGACAACATGTGCCCTTACAAATATAAAAGCACTGTAAAGATATTTGTCTTGGCAGTGTCTATTGATTTGAAGTCATATTAGGAAATATTTAGACAATGAAAATTGTCAATTATAAATAGATGTGATTGGTTGCCATTTGTGTTCTTTTGCAGAACTCTGATAAGAAAAGTGTTCAATTTGTATTTAAGCAAACAGTGAACGACATTTGCAATCAACTAAATATTCGTCTTTCGAATTAGGGCTGCAAATTTCTGTTAAAGAGTGTTGCCGTATGTCTGGTGGCTCCCTTTTCAGGACTAGGGTTTTCTCATGGAGTACAGTATGTTAATATTTACCTATATAACTAATCTGTTAACGGTTTTTGAAAAACCTTTATTTCAAATATTTTAATAATCCTCTATTTTCATTTTAACTTACATAAGCCTCTAATTTTTTTTTTTTTGGTGAGGAAAGCATTTGGTGTTTATTAGTTTTTTCTTAACGTAAGAAAAATTGTATTTTTTTTAAAGTATCTTCAAACTGAATCCTTTATGCACCAAAGTTGGTTTTGAAAAGGAAAATAAAATCATTTTCTTGCTTGGTTAAGCAAGAAGCCATATGGATTTTTTTTTAACATACAGAAATGGAAATATGTGTAACTTGTTAGTATTGTATCAAACAAATGTTGCATAGAGATAATAGAACATTGCTTGTAAATAATTCAGCAGATTTGTAATATATTTTTATATTATGAAATGTACTGTAGATGTTTTTCTAGAGGCATGAAAGTTAAATGTATATATTATGGGTAGAAATAATATTGAAGGATATTGTAATTCACTAGTGCTGCCAGAGGAATTGTTAATAAAGCACCTTCTTTAACAATAAATGTCTTTTGCAGACTTAAGGGACTATGTACTACTGTTAATATCTTTAAGAACAAAACATTGAACATCCTTCCAGAAAGTCTTTGAGGGAGGACCTATACCCATAATAGAATTATGGCACTCATTTCTGACAGTGACCGTGAAATCAATCATTTCCTTACTGTTGGAAGGACATATTGTAAAATATGTGGTTATATGCAGTCAAACTGCAGAAAATACTCCTGATTGAGGAGTTTTCACTTTACTACAATGATATAAAAACCAGCAGTTTTTACACTAAATTTTTTAATGAAAGAATAGACTAAAATATAGAACTAAGCCTTTGATTCCAAAATGGGAAAGTTCCATGATACATAAGTCATTTCTCATTTACTTTTTAAAAAATTTAAAAATAAAAGTTATGGAAGACTTTATTCGTTAACAATGGGGTAAAGAGCTATATACATGAAATGAGTCATATAAAATTAAATGAAGTGCAAATAAAAGCACTGCTACTATAAGACATTCTGGAACGGTTGTTTAATAAGGGTATTATCCATATGATCTGTAGCAAATGTGACTTTATTTTTAAAAAGAAAAGAAAAGCAGTGTGTTACTTTTTTGTTTTCTTTTGCTTAAGCACTTCATTAATTGCTTTATTCTGTATCTGCGAAGTAATCTGCAATCTTCTTTGTTCTTTAAATTTTGATTTGTTAAAAAATTGCCAAATAGAAGTGTTTCAGATATATAGTTTGTACCTGTATTTTTTATTTTATTGCCTCATGTTCTTGTAAGTCATTCTTAATTGACCGATGATTGTAGACCTTGCCTGAGTATTTTTTCTAATAAAACAAAAGCAAATCACATTTAGCTTCAAAATTGTAACAATTCAATTACATTTTAAAACAACATCTGAGATATACATGTAATATTTTCTTTAGGGACAAAGCAAATAAAAGAGTTTTTCATTGTGTAGAAATATTTAGATGTGAAAATCAAATTTCATGGTTATTGATTAGGCTCTAAGTACTCAGTCACTCATGGTACTTTGCTGCTTATCTGACTTTGGTTCAATACTATTAAAACTCCAAAAAAATATAGAATTAAAGTGAAAGAGTATTTAACTTGTAAGTAAACATTATTACACACCAGCAGTTATGACTGGCAAGTAAGTGTGAACATTTTATTTAATCCTCAACTGAGGATATGTTTTTATTTATTTTGAGAGATAGAGATCTGTTTCCTCCAGTACATGTCCCATCGAACCTGAAACATAGGTATATGCCCTGACCAGGAATGGAACCCGCAACCTTTTTGGTGTAGGGGACAACACTCCAACCAACTGAGCCACCTGGCCAGGATCTAAGTGTGAACATTTTAATTCATAATGTTTATTGAGTGATGTCTGTCCCTCTACGTTGTTCTTCACTAACTTCCATATATGACATGTTTATAATATGGTACCTGAATTATAGTTACTCTCTTAAAGCCATTGTTTGGTTCAGCACTGGTCCAACTGCAGTCCATTCATTGATATGTTGTCTGACTGCTTTCTTCCTGTAGTGGCAGAGTAGAGAGGCCTTTTGGCCTGCAAACCTGAAATATTTACTCTCTGACCTTTAAGGAAAAACAACAATTCCCTGGTACAGTTGATAAAATTTTTGGAAAAATAAACCTAGACCACACAGTTTACATTTTAATACAGTGTTAGTCTTGGTAATGAACCAGCACGTTGCGTTTCAGTGAAAGCTGTTGACTATACTTTAAACAGTGCCGTATTAGGTGCCTGCAACAAATGGTGTTTGTTTTTCTTACACTTTTACATTGGATTTCTTAGTAGTTATTAGTATTTCACCATTTGTGTTTTGTATTATGTTTTACTAAATAGGACTAAATGAGATTTGTACATCAAATTCTTGTTTAAAACACAAAGGCACATCTTGCTCTATCTAAAAGAATCTTGGAAATGGAAAATATTGTAAAATTTAAAGCTGTTTATTTTTTAAATAAACTTTTCATATACAAATCTTTCCAAAAGTCGACACACATTCCTTCTGGGTTTTAGGTGAAAGGAAATTAAGATGGGGAGTAATTAGCTCTCAATGTGTGTTTTAAGATTTGGTTTATTTTCATTGAAAGCAATGATAATCATGTCAGAAAACATTTGACTGTAAAATTTTTTCTTTCACGTCAATATTTAAAATTTTCAAGTACTTTTAAAATGATAGAATTTGCAATAATTATTTAAATCTTTTGTTTGCTATTTGAAATTTTAATATATGGTTAACAAAAGTTAGATATTTGAATAAAATATAAAGATGGGAAAATATGGTCCAAGTCTTTAAAACAGCTTGTGGTGGGGAGTGCTCTCTGTAGCTACAACTTCTTTTAAATCCTCACCTGAGGACACCTTTTTTGCATTTATCTTCAGACAGAGCAGGAGGGAGAGAGGGGGAAGAGAGAGAGAGAGAGAGAGAAACATTGACGTGAGAGAGAGACATCGAGTGGCTGTCACCCACATAACCCCAACCCCCAGCCAGGGCCGGGGAAAAACTAACTGCAACCGCGGTGCGTGCCCTTAGCGGGAACCGAACCTGGGACTCTGGTCCGAAGGCTGATGCTCTAACCGCTGAGCCAAGCCGGTCAGGGCTGTAGTTAAAACTTTTTAAAAATAGTGTTTAATACTTCTGCATAGTTCTGTTAAAGGCAAGCAAATTCGTATGTTGAAAAACTGATATACTTATCTGTTTAACAAGGACTAGGGTTGTAGACCTACAAGGAGATGGCTAACATATTTAGTGCTTTTATAATTTACTTTTATTTATTTTTTTTGAAATAGCTAAATGTTAATTTATTTTTTTAATTAATTTATTTTTGTTACAGATATTTCTCCTTTCCCCCCCACTAACTCCCCCCTCCCCCTCCGTCCCTGCCCTGTCCCCACCTTTGTTGTCCATGTCCATTGTTCATACATGCATATAAGTTCTGTGGTTTATCTCCACCCCCCCTCCCTTCTGGGGATTGTCGGTTTGTACCCCACTTCCTCGTCTCTGGGACTACCCCATTCCTCAGACTGTTATGTTCATTATATTCCACAAATAAGTGAGATCATGTGATATTTGTCTTTCTCTGCTTAGCTTGTTTCACTTAGGATAATAATTTCCAGGTCCCTCCATGTCATCTCAAAGGATAAGAGATCTATCTTTCTTACAGCTGCATAGTATTTAGTGCTTTTTTAAAAGGGGAGTTGAACTATATATATCATTTGAATGTTTTTTTTTTGTTTGTTTTTGAAGACAAATTTGGGGGGGATTTCAATGAACAATATTTTTCTATTCTAAAATAATTTCTTAAAAGAACAAGATTTTGTTAGAAAATTTCTTATGTGTATATACAATATTTTTAAACTCTTAAAGAATCTTTGACTTGGTGGCATGCTTTGCAATTCCAACACTACAGATTTTTTAATATAAATAAAGTCTACAGAGTTATGTATTTATTTTTGTCGTTTCTAATGGTCACAAGCCTCAGTAGCCTTTAAAATGTAATGAAATGCTATATTATTTTTAATTTTTTAAAAATTAGAAAAATGTTTATAACATTTCATTTTACTTCCTGAATTGGGTTTGCATGGTTTATATAACACATGGTTCTATTACTCTGTGGGATATAGCCAAGCCAAGGAGGGAAGACCCTCTTTCCCATGTCTCTTTAATTTTTTTTCTTTATTGATTTAAGAGAGTGGGAGAGATAAACATCAATGAAAGAGAACATAGATTGGCCACCTCCTGCACACCCGCCACTGGGGATTTAGCCCACAACCTGGGCATGTGCCCTGACTAGGAATTGAACCAGTGACTTCTTGGTGCAGGGGTCGATGCTCAACCACTGAGCCATACCAGCTGGGCTGATTTCTTCATTTTAATGTTTTGTCTTGGTTCCAGAGTATTTTCCCCCAAAGCAATATTTATATGCTTCTGGTTCTGGTTAAAGAAAAAACTACATTTTACAAATCTTAAAAATTTATTATGAAATTGTCAAGGATTTATATGTTCCTATTAAAGAAAATCATTTCAGAAATTCTTCTATATTTGGATCCCCAATAGGTCTTGCATAAGATTATTACATGCCTTGGGACTTTTTTCTTTTAGAAAAGTGTAATGCTTTTTGGAAAGAGTATGTAGCTAGGGAATAATAATAGATTGTAAAACGTGAGCATTTACTCTTGATAGCTGAGCCCAGTGCAAGTAGTTTAATGTAAACATCATGGAGCCTTTCAGAATAGTGGGTCAAAAGATTCCCAGTTTACATCTTTTTTTTTTTTTATCCTCACCCGAGGACATTTTTCCATTTTTTGTTCAGGTAGAGTGGGAGGGAGAGAGAGGAACAGAGAGAGAGAGAAACATCGATTTGAAAGGAACACATGGAGTGGCTGCCACCCACACGACCAACCAGGGCCAGGGACAAACTGCAACCGAGGTACGTGCCCTTAGCGGGAACCGAACCCGGGTCTCTCCAGACCGCAGGCCGATGCTCTAACCACTGAGCCAAACCGGCCAGGGCCCAGTATACATCTTTTTGAATTTCATAAATTAAGAGCCTAATTGATTATCTTCTTAATACTTGCATATCTTTTTAATTCCTGCCATAACAACTTTAAAAGATTACAATAAATCTCATTCTTTTTTGAAGAGAGTTTTAAGTTTCTCTGTATCGGATTTCTTTCCTATGTGTTCTCCCCTAAATTACCCAAAATAGCTAATTTTCTTTAAAAATATAATTCAGAATAATTAGTTCATTCAGAATTAGTACAACAGTAGTGAAGTCTTTCTAGCCAGTAGTAAAATTTAAAAAATTAATAGGTTTAAAAAACCATTTTAGTTTCTTTGTTATTAAAATTATAATTGCCAAAAAAAAGAAATAAATAGGATGAAAATTGGAATAAGCTCTAGTATTCACAAATGTAAGTCTACTCTTGCCCCTCCCTGCAGATCTTTTTTATGGCCAGGTGTGATACCGTAAATCATCACTTGGCCAGTCTGTATTGATTGATGCAGACTGTTTGCACACTTTCTATCACTCAACGTGAATGCTCTTTTCCCAGCACTGTACCAATACTTAAATGTTATTCTTTAAGTTTTAATCACTAGAAAGTGGAAAAGTCGGTTAAGAGTATGAACTGTGTAATTATCAATTTAACTGAACACTGACTGGTTTGGGGGAAGTTTTACTTAAACTCACAGTGCCATTTTTTATTTGTTAAATGGCATATCATTGCTTACCCAATGGGATTTGTTGTGAGGTTAAAATGAGATGTATAGTCATTGATTTGAACGGACATGACTTGCAGAGTACAGTCTTAACCTTGACATTTTATCCTTTCAAACGCACTCTGGATGTGGTCTTATCATGGGAAGAAATAGCGTGTGGGTTCCTTAGTTTTTACGATTCTTCTTAGGTAACATAAAGCTCTCCAATTATATGTAGTCAACAAAATGAACAATTTCCTATTTCAGTAAGTATCTTCTAATCCATTTTAATTGTACAATTAGAAGAGTTTTGACACATGCACATAACCATGAAGTCACCGACACGATCGAGATACTGAGTATTTCTGTTGCCTCCAACAAGTTTCCTCATGCTGGTTTGTAGTTGATCCTTCCTTTTGCCCCAGCTGCAGGCAGACACTGTGTCCTTTTTAGTGCTATGTACTCTGCATCTTGACATGTTTTCTTTTAAAATGAGATGTAAAAATGCACTAGACTAATACAGAGTACAATATGTTGCCCATTTTATCTTTGTGAGAACTAAAACTTGAGAGACGTCCTTAAAGCTCAGGCCAGTGTGGCTCGTTTGGAGCATCGTCCTATGCAACCGAA